GGGGGGGGGGATCGCCAAGGGGTGGGAGGGGGCGGTGCCCCGGTCAGCCCCGCCGGCAGGCACTAGAGTCGTACCGATCCACTGCCTGATCGACAGCAGGAATTCCGGGGCAACTGAGCGGCTGAGATGACACCGCGCAGCCCGCTGTGGGATCTGGAATTGGAAGGTCCCCTCCATACCGCCCTCTTCCCAAGCGGTTTGGCGAAGTTTTATGCTAGCCGCACCCGACGCGCCTAGAACCGGGCTAGGGTGTGTGTAGACGGTGAAGGTGAAGGGCAGGCACCACCTATTTAGGGTGGACCTGGCAGTCCCTAGGACAGTACTGGGGCAGGGGAACTCTCATCCTCCCTCAGTTCTGCGTGGGCCCCTTTAACCTAATCCGCTCGACAGGAGCCCAGGGCGCAACAGGTCTGGCGTAGGGCGGCCGTGCAGCGACACCCAGCGCCGGGCTGAGCCCGGGGCGTGACTCTGCCCGAAGGCAGCTGGGACCCCAATATTCAGGACCTGTCGCGGCCGGTCGGCTTTGCCTGCTGACCCTTGGGTCTGGGCCCCCCACCCCCACCCCACCCCCCACCCCCGACACTGGAAGATCGCCAGCACATCTCCCAGCCCAGAGTCTCAATCGCAAGGCCACCGAGGTCGGTGCAACCCTCCGGCTAGGGACTTGAGGCGGAAGGTGGCCCTCCCGGAGTTTCTATTTTCCATGCCTGGCAGCTGGTGTCGCTGCTCACCAACTCATCAAGCTTGTCATTCCAGCCTCTTGGCGGCCCTGTCTTTTCACCAATAAAAACGGGGTCAAATTTCTGCCCAGGCTAGCCTCCGGGGGAGATAAATGAGTAAAGGAATATGGAAGTAATTAAGTATGTAATGCACACAAGGAAAAATCTAGCATTTGGGAGTACGACATTTGTAGCACAGCATGCGACATGTTGAATAACTCGATCCTCTGAGCCTAACAGCCATCACCTTCACCGGAGCAGCTGGGTTTCTTGCAAGAGAACCCGGAGGTAGAGCTTGTTGACTGGCGGCGGCCTTCCCTCACATAAGGAGAGGTTGGGGAGAGTGGTTGGACCCTTGCATTAGATTCTGGCTGTTCCCTCCTGCACCTCCCAGTCATTTGTCCTAACTGCTTGCAGCCTCACCATCTTCTGAGATGCTACAGTGTGCAGACTGTGGAAGGTTAATTGAAGCCAGTTGGATTGATGGGGCGACCTTCATATGTGCAGCTAAGGGGAAGTGAGATTATTTTTTCCAGTAGCGCAGTTGCTTTGGGAGTCACCCACACTCCTGTAAGTAACCCCTCGCCCATGCTCTGTGAGTAAGCCAAATCAACTGTGGTTCTCCAGCTGGATTTTGGTAAGTTCGTACTTTGCTTTGTCTTTGGAGTCCTTTGTGGGGAGTGTTTATGTTTCCGTTGGTAATGAACGCCTTGAGCGGGGCTGGCGAGATGGCTCAGAGGTTAAGAGCACTGACTGCTCTTCCAGAGGTCTTGAGTTCAATTCTCAGCAACCACACGGTCGCTCACAACCATCAGTAATGAGATCTGGTGCCCTCTTCTGGCCTGCAGGTGTACATGCACGAAGAATCCTGTATACATAATTAATAAGTAAGTGTTTTTTTTTTTTAAAAAAGAACTCATTGAGTGTGGGTAATGGGTTCGGCAAGTCCATGTTTCCAGAGCAGTCTCAGCAGATTCTGTCCCCTGTTTAAAGATGGGGAGGCTGAGGTACAGAGAGGTTAGGCTACTCTCCAAGGCCCTGACTGCCTTCCTCACACTTGCCCCTTAACCACATTACAGTATTTACCTGGGTATATTGTGCGGGAGGTGGCTTCACAGAGGAAACATACTTCTTGGAGAGATGGGAGGGGGGCTAGAAGAGTTTGATAGACATTTCTATAAATAACATATAGCTTACATTATTATTATTAATTTTGAAATCGGTTCTCGCTATATTGCCCAGGCTGGCCTCGGACTCTAGCACGCATTACTGGGCCCTGATAACCTAAGCCCGTCTCCACTTCTGTCTTTTATCCTTGGCACACACTCACTATTTTAATTTTCAGATAAACTTGAAGTAGACTCCATTGTTATCCCTCTGCTTAGATAGGCAGAAAGGAGACATACAGAGGCAAAGAAACTTGTCTAGAGGGTACATGGGTTCCAGGAGCTTGGATCCAGTAGGAAGCCTAAACTTGACTCCTTCCCCCTAGCCACTGTGGCTGTTGGTCCCATGGTGCTTGATCCTCGGGGGAAGGGAGACGAACCTCTTGGAGCAAGCTTAACACATTGCTATCTGTCCCCTCCTCTCATCTGGTCCCTTTTCCCCTTCCCTTCCTCCTTTGCCCTCCTCTCTGCCCCACCCCCATCGCCCCATCATCATTATCACCTTAACTACCCCCTTTTTCTCTTCTCCCTGGTGTTTTGCAGATAAGGTCCCACTGTGTGCCTCAGGCTTAGCTCAAAGCCCTTATGCAGCAAAGACTGCCCTCAAACTCTCCATTATCCCGCCTCTGCCTCCCTAGGGTTGAAATTACAGGCATGCACTATCACACTTGGCCCTTGGTATCTTCGTCTTTTAAGATTTGAAGTCTGTGAGAATACTAAGGACCCTAGCAAGGAAAGTGTTTCCCTGGCATAGGGATCATAGAATCTGCTCATCTATTTCTGTTAGTATTAAATGTCTTGGTTGTATGCTAATACCTAGCACAATGGGTGCTAATAAATGTCTAAGTGCTTGCGGAGTGGGTAAATGAACAGGAACGCCTGCTAACAAGCACGATGCCCACACTCGGGTGCTGAGAACATCACACTGGTCCCGGTTTAACCTCTGCTGGAATTCTGCAAGTTGGGACAGTGGCATCTCTCTCCCTTTTACAAGTGAGGAGGTTGCAGTTCTTGATTGGAGGGCAAAGCGAGTTAGTGACTGTAAGGAAGGGATAAGCTGATCTATTTCCTAGTGTCGGCCCAGCTGCTCGTGGCTGCCCCACCCTCAGATGAAAGTGTCACCCAGAGATCAGTTAAGGCCTTCTCTGATGAGTGTACAAGGTCACTCCAAGACTAGATTCCAGGGTCCTGTGACCTTTTGATCATCTCTGTCCTTCATGCGCACTTGAAGTTCAGCTTTGAGTTGTCACCTGAATGCAGACCAAGGTTTCTCCTGACGTACTTGTGGAGTGCCCAGGGGAAGCCCCGAGGGTACAGAGCAGGGAAGCTGATTCAGAGTGATGAGGGTCAAGGATGGCTTCCTTGAGGGACTGTCCTTAAACTGAGTCCCAAGAACTGCAGACTTCTAGGGATTGTTCTAGGGGCCAATGATGCTTGAGTTCAGGGACCTATGGAGAGATGTCCCTGTGGTCTTTCTCAGCCCTGCCAAATCCCACCGTTTACACCACAAAGGCAGGCAACAAAGCAGAACACATGATCTGACCACCGGAAAACCTGCCTTACAGCTGCTGTAGACACTTGAAACGCCATTTGTATTCTTCTTTATAATGTTCTATTTTATAAAATTTGTCTATTTATTGTGTGTAAACATATGTGTGTGTGGAGGGAGTGGAACAGGCATGTGTGTGCCACAGGGGGCACACAGGGGTCAGAGATGACTTTCAGGTACCTAGTCTTTCCCTCTACCACATGGGTCCAGGGATCTCAGATTGTCAGGCTGGGCAGAAAACACCACTATGTTCACAGAGCCTGTGTTTGGACTCCTTACAGCATGAAAGGCCAATGATTATCAGGCCCGTCCACTAGATCTTTGCATTGAGTATGTCAGTAAAGAAACACGTATAAGTTGGGTTTGATGGCATACGCCTATAATCCCAAACCTTCAAGAGGCTGAGGAAAGAGCATTAGGCATTCTGGGTCAACCTGTGATCTGTGGTGACACCCTGAATCAAAACCCAAATGATAACTACAGTCTAAATATTTGTCTCTATACCCACAGGCAAGTGTAGTCTTCACACCGCTGCAAGGAAACTGCTCTTTTCGACGGATGAAGACCATTACAGAAAACCACAGCCAATTAAAATACAGAGGTATGAAACTTAGTCCCAGCAGACACATCTACAAGACAACTCCTGTACCTAAGGCGTAAGGAACTCCTCAGAAGGGAGGGTGGCGAGATCACAAGAGCCAGAGGATCAGGGAGTTCGTTGTGAGATTGCTTGTTCCGGGACTGTCAGAAACCACACCCTAAATCTCACCAACACGGCTGTCTAAACGTGACCTGAGCAGTAGACATGTTCAATTGAACAGGAGAAAGACCTTGGGGCCTCAACCCTACACAAGAACTGCAGGCAATAAGGAAGGCTGAGAGGGGGAGAAATGGTCTTCCCCAGAGAAGACCAATTGTTTATTCAACACCAAATAGTCAGCCCTGAGAACATACATTTGAGTAACACTATTCAAACCAAGCAGGTTGTATTGATGTATATGCCTATATGCATGGAACAACAGTTCATGATAAAAAAAAAAGGCCATTAATTTGAAAGGGAGTAAGGAGGGATATATGGGAGAGTTTAATAAAGGAAAAGGAGGAAATGATGTAATTATGTTATAATCTCAAAAGTTAAAGGAAAGCATAAAATAAGTAAAACTAAAATCCAGGGGAACGAGGAGAAAGATAAATATTACTATATTTCAGTTTGCCTAAATACTTTGATAACTGCATAGCCAAGTAGTTAATTTCTGTGATGTCTAATAGGCTATGTCCTATACTCATAAACCGTTCTCCTGAAATTCAGCCTACAGGGCTTCAGGGCAGCAGATGTGTTGGTTTAGCAGAGTGGAGGCGGCAAGCAGTTCTCAGATCACAGTGAAGCCAGTGAGGGTCCCCAAGTGCAGGGGACAGAGGTCAAGCAGTTTCCTGTCACTCCGTGAGAGAGAAGGCGCTCATTAACGGGATGTCTAAGGGCAAGTCCTCCAGACACAGCTGGAATCAGGGGTGGCTTAGAAGCCATGGAGTCTCTGTCACCTCTCTCAGCTTCTTTAAGGCTGGGTTTGGTTCTTTTTTTTTATTATTGGCCCCCAGGGTAGTTTGCTTCTTGTGGCAAAAGTGGTGGTGGGGGGGAGGAATGAGGGTTGGTGGATGTCCTTGGTTTACGGTTTTATGTTTGTAGTACCAATGAAGAGAGATTTTTATGTCACATGCTGAGTCAGAGGACCCAGCACCCTGCTAGAGTGAGACTGGGCGGGCAGCCAGCTTCATGTGGCATCATGAATTGCTGTCTGGTGAGGACCACATAGGCGGCAGAAAGGTTGGCTTTCTAAGAAAAAGATGCTGGAGACAGAAGTGTCATTCCCACCACGAGGTAGCCATGGCCCATCTAGGCCAGAGGGAAGCATAATGTTTGTGTGTGGAATCCTAACTCTCCTAAGGCAGGACACTGGGGACTGGTTTCCAGCTCCTCTCGTGGTACTGCTACCGTCTCCAGCTAAGATGAAGCAGCCTAGAGCACCAGGCCTTGGGTGGCAGATGCACGCACATAATAACAGTCTTGAGAAGGGAATTAGAGGTGGGAATGCAGTTTCCAGCCCTTACAATACCTATTATCATTCAAAAGTGCCAGGGCGGCAGAAACAGCCGTCGCCACCCATCTGAACGGTGCAGCTTCTGGCTCAGGGGCTGTCAGTTTTGGCCGTTCTTTCTGATGGAACCTGTTGCCTAAGTCCATTTTAATTCTATGACATATAAAACATGTTCTTCCGATCCTGCCTTAGCCATCCCTACGTCCCTCCCTGAGCTGTGTTTCTACCCAGAATGCCAAGGTAGTAAGAAGGCTCAAAGCTAATCAAACAGCCATTCTGAAATAGGGAGGGAGGCTATCTGTTAAAACAGGGTCTCCAGAGCACAAGCTATGGTGCATGGTCATCAGAGTTCTTTTGGTCTCTGTCTTTGCCAGGGGCAAAAGCTCTGTCTTCTCTGTCTACTGGTGTGTGACTAGGGACAAGCCATTTCACTTCTGTGAACTTCAGTTTTCCTCATTCTCAAACTGAATATCCTACGCTTTCCTGCTGGGGCTGGATAGAACTCTAGCCACTGTGAAAAATCCACAAAACGTGGATACATAGTGCACCAGAAGTGGTTCCCTTTCTTTCCCCCAAAGCACATATTTAACCTGGGGCTTCTTGTTTTATTTTATGCTTGGAAAATTGGAGTTTGTCAAGGAGCAAAGGGGACAACTTGGAGGTTGAAATCCTGGCTAGCGGAGTCAGCTAGTCTGCCTGAAAGTCCTGCTTCTCACCTCTCATGAGCTGTGAGACCAGGAATGTCTTTCTCCATGGGTCTCAGCCTCCTCCACAGTGAATGGGGTCAAAATCAGGGCTTCACAGCATCAGCACCCGCCTGACAGTGCATAGAATAACTCCGCATGTATCCCATACACTGCACTAGCCCCCAGGAGTTCTCAGTAAATGGTCTCTGCCACTCTCTTTTTATTCTCAAAGTGTATGGGCTGAAGATATAGCACTTCCCTAGCAGTGTGAGGCCCAAGGTAGTGCGCGTGCGCGCGCGCACGCGCTCGCGCGCGCACGCACACACACACACACACCACACACTCACACACAGGCACACATATGCATGCACACATTCACACACATGCATACAAACAAACACAAAGGCACATACATGAACTCACATGCACACACATGCACCCATTTGTGCACATGCGCACACATGTATCCATTCACACACATGCATACAAACACAAAGGCACATACATGAACACACATGCACATGCATGCACCCATTCGCAGACATGCACACACATGTGTACATTCACACACACAAGCACACACAAATGAACACACACACTCAACCTCCAAGACAAGTCCCTGCCAGTGTGAGTGATCCTGCAACTTGCGTACCCTGAATAGTTTTGCTTCTGTTCATGGCCCAGACTGAGATGACAGAGCCACCCCAGACACAGGTTATTCTTAAACTTGACTTACAGAAGTGGGTAACAATCTCATTAATCTCCCTCTTTGCAAACTCACGTAGACACTGGAATGTGGTAGGGTTAGAGACAGAATCTAGGGAACCCCAGTTTCTACCAGTTTTCCAGAGGATGCTTCCAGAAGCAGGTGCTACAAAGTTCAACCTTGACCTTAGCATGCTAGGACATCATCTCTGTGGTACTTCTGCACTTCTCAACTAGAAGGATGCGGTCCGTCAGCCAGACTGCCTCTGAGTGATGTCCACGCATTGGCTGTCAGGGCTCAGGGTAGGAGATGACATGGAGGTGGGGCATGCACCCGACAGACAGATGGGACAGGCATCAGCTCTGAAGACACCTGACTCACGCGTGCCGCTTGGCCTCCTGCTGGTCTGCAACCTACCAGACATCGCTTCATCTTGCATGCTGTCTGCTGGCGTCTCCCCCAAGGACCCTGCTTAGCTGAAGGAGTCTGATGATCTAGTCTTTCAAAACCTCTGGAACCCTGACACTAGCTCGACTGAGGTTGGTAACTACAGTCAGCCAAACCATCTCCACCTCATGATTCAGAAAAGGATAGCTAATGATTTAGTCTTCAAGAAGGAAAATCTGAGGGCGATTTAATAGCAGCCTGCACATATGTGAAAGGGTATTTGCGCGGAATGGGTGACCACCTGTTTTCTCTCTCCCTCTCTGCCTCTCTCTCTCTGCCCCCCCCCTTTCTGATGCTAGGCACGGACATGACAACACAGATGTGACTTCAGGGGGCAGCACATGATGTCTACTTTGCTGGGTTAAAGACGAGACATCAACTTGGGATCTGCTGTGTAGTTTTCTCCCAGAGGCAGGAAGAGGATCTGAGGCTGGGGGTTACTGCCACATGAGAACGGCACTGGCACCATAGTCAGCCTTGCTCCCTAGCTTTTGTGCCCTAAGAGCATCTATGATTTCTCTTTTTCTTCTTTCCCCTCCCTCCCTCCCTCCCTCCCTCCCTCCCTCCCTCCCTTCTTCCCTCCCTCCCTCCTTTGTTTTTCAAGACAGGGTCTCTCTGTGTAGCCCTGGCTGGGCTGGGACTCACTCTGTAGACCATGCTGGCCTCAAATTCACAGAGATTCTCTGCCTCCAGCTGCCATGGTGATTTTCAAGGTCCAGTCTCTGGACCTGCATCTGAGGCAGCAACTGGGTGATGGACAGGACCCTCATAAGAAGGACGGAGTCTTACCCTGCTGAATGAGATGCCCTGGGCACCGGGACAGGTCTGTACTGGTACTGCCCCTGCACCCCTGCAGGAGGTTCTGATGCTGGTCCCAGAATGCGGGACCACAGAGACTCCGGCTTCATGGTGTAGTCCTCACTTGGAATTCCCCATTCAGGAATTTGGGGGCAGGGCCTTTGGGTCAATCCTATTCTTCTAGCAAGTTCTACTGGGTGTGTCTAACTTTTTCCACACTGATATTACGTTGTCAAATTACAAAGAAATCTCATACTGTGGCCCCGGTGAGATGGCTCAGTGGCTGAAGGACTTTGGCATGCAAACCTGGAGATCAGAGCCCAACCTCTGGGACTCACAAGATGGAAGGAGTTAGTGGACTCCCAAGTGTTGTCCTCCTACCTCCTCATGTGACTGTGGTGGGTGTGCATGCTAGCACACACACACATACACACGCACACACGCACACACACACGCACACACACACACATACACACGCACACGCGCGCGCGCACACACACACACACACACACACACACACACACTAAATTAATTCATCTAGATTTTTTTTTTACAGAATGGTCCCCAGGACTGCACTTTTGGGAGGCGGTGAAATCTTTGAGAGGTGGGGCCTGATGGGATGTGCTCTTAAAGGGACCGTGCTCTTTGTTTCCTCCTTGTTCTTCCTTGTTCCTCGCTAGTTTTGAGGTGAGTAGGTTTGTTCTGCCATACTGAACTGCTACCTTACCACAGGCCCAAAGTAACCAGGCCGGTCAGTTGACTGTAAGCCTCCTCCCTTTCTATGTTGGTTAGCTCAGGGGTTTCATTGCGGTGATGGGAAGCTAGCTTGTGCAGAGACCGATGCTGTTGTCTCGAGGACCGCTGAGGTCTAGAAAGGAGCCCCTTTAGATATGGGTACCTTTTCATCCATTGCCTCCTCCCATAGAAAGGATGAGAATGGAGAGTAGACAGGTGGACCATGTCCCTCGACAGGTGGAACACAGAAGGCAGAGTGTGACTCACAGAGACCCAGGTTCAGACAAGGAACAGGTCCACACTGGCCGCTCTGGGGAGCCTTAATAAGTCCTTTGAATGTGCACAGCAGCTTAGAGGATCAGATGGACAAAAAAGCTGGGAGCCCTGGGTATCTGGTTGGCATGTGGCATGCAATTTACTTGTTTCTCGGTGATTGGCTGCTACTTATTAGATGGGGGGGCGCGGGTACCATCAGAAAAGCATGGCAAGAAATCCTTTCCTTAGCACCTTCTCTCTTCTAGGAGCTCACACGGGGCAGGATAGATATTCAAATCCCTCTCTCTCCCCTCACCTGTGTGTGCTTGCCCTCGTGTCTGTGTGTGGAGGCCAGAGGCTGGTGTTAGAGTGTCTTCCTCTATTGCTTTCCACCTTATGAAGTCTCACACTGGACTCAGGGCTAGCTCACCACTTCAGCTAGGCTCGCTGTCCAGCAAGCCCAGGGATCTGCCTGTCTTCACCACCAAGAGCTAAGGTTATACTACCATGACCAGTTTTTAACATAGGTACTGGGGATTGAACCCCGGTCCTCACGCTTGTGCACCAGACACTTCACCCACTGAGCCATCTCCCCAGTCCACAGATCTACCTGTTTTCCATGGAAGTCAAGCTGTGCCTGCCTAGCTGGTACCTGTACCCTTGATATGTGTGCCTGAGGGTCAGACTGAACCAGTTCAGCACATCCATGCTGCTGACTCTCCAGCTCCAGCTCTCCTTCTGCCTTCAGGCTGTCTGCAGAGATTCTCCAAATGTGTGCACAGCCCACATGCCTCCTCGGAGCCCCAAAGTCTCCCCTATAAGCAGCTGCTCCATTTCCCCAGACACGGGCTTGAGAATGGGGCTCAGCAAACTGGCCAAGAGCGGCTTTACTGGGATGCATGCGTCTGTGACAGAGGCCAGGCAACAGCGGTGAGGCTGATGACCAATGGCAGAGACCTGGTGCCCTGCAGAGTCCAAGCTATTTACCATCTTGAAGAAGCATGTGACCCCTATCTGTGTACCGGGGCTAGGTTCAGCAGTAGAATACCTGCCTAGCCTGTGTGAGACCTAGACTTGAGCCAATGCACCCCAATAAAATAAAATGGTCAAGTAAGGCAGCATAATATTAAAAAACCAAATTCCTGACCTGCCCCCCCTTTGTCCTAAACCTGCCTCTCTCACTGTCTTACTTCTCCAAGGTGCTTGAGTTGGAACAGAATGTTTTGAATTGTCCTCGATGTGTAAACACCTGCCACAATCACACTCAGTGCAACAACGGGGCTGTATTTATCAGAAATGTATTGTTGGGTGATACTTTGTGGACATCAGTATATTCATATTCTCATGTATGCCAAGCTGACTTCCAACTCACTATGCAGGGGAGTATGACCCGAATTCTTGAGTCTTGCTTCTAACTCTGGGTGCTGGGGTAACAGGATGATACTGCCACATCTGGTTTCTACAGTAGTGCTGGGGATCAAACCCAGACCTTCGTTCATGTCACACCAGCACTCCACAGGCTAAGCTGCACTTTACCCAGTCAATGTTGACCTCTTGATGTAAGGGAAACACAAAATAAGCTGTAAGGCAATGAAAGAATCATAATACGCTGCCCTTTTAAGAAGGTATTCTAGTCAAATGCACAGAAACTTTGTTGCCTGACCTTGCCTCCGTAAAGGGCACCAGCTGCAGGGCTCACTGCTCAAGTGTTCACGGAGGGAAGAGAGCAGTCCATACAGCGTCGCCTCGAGACTACAGGGGATTGAGGGGGAATGAGATCCTCTGATTAGCCTGACCCTTGGTGACCTGCAATTTCCATTTCACTGCAATCAAAGGACAGAAGTAAGTCCTAAGAGCCACACTGGCTCAATCACAGGTACAAGGAGACTCTAACGTTATGATTGGCCCAGTTTGAATGACGTGCATATGCCTGTGGCTTAGAGGGAGGCGTGCACCATCACTAGAAATATATGGAAGAGGACAAGAACAGTTCCCAAAGGAAATAAGATGCTGAGAAAACAGAAACGCCAGGTGGCTTCCATTACTCCCAGGTACAGGGCAATCACAGAAGTCCGGTGGTGAAGGGAGGCCAGGCCATAACTGACAGCATGACAGGAGCTCCCACGAAAATGCTTACTGAGTTTATATGGGTTCCTTCTTAAAGCCAGCCTAGTATACATTGCTATGCCTTGAATGTGAAACAGCTTCCATAGATCATATTAAATTCTTAGTCCCAAGCTAGTGGCACTATTCAGGACTGTTCTGGAAACATTAGGAGGAGGGGCCTAGTCAGAGGAAGGGCTTCCCTGGACACGTGCCTTTGAAGGTTTCTTTCCTAGCAGGAGGTGAAAAAGCCCCTTCTCTATACACTGTCCCAGCACATGGAGTCAAAGAGCCGCAACTCAACCATCTGAAACCACGAGCCAAGGTCAGTCTTCCTTTCCTGGAGTTGCTTTAGTATTTTATTTATATTGCGCTGGAAGCAGCTACAGGAGAGTAACCAATGCACACATTGGAGCTCTCCCTCAAGGGGATCTGGAAGTGCTGAAGATTGTGGGGTGCGTGTAGTCCAAAGCTGGCAGTCATGGTAGGAGCTACAGGTGGCAGCTCAGTACCCACTCCCTTCCACTCTGACCCTCCGGTGAGGTGGGAGGAGCTACTCCAAACTTGCAGGGCTCAGGAAAAAGTAAAATGCAGGCACTTTGCTCTCCATCTTCACCAAGTTGAAGACGATGGCAGCAGGCATTAAGTTACCCCGAAGGTTTTTGACAAAGAAGCAAAAAATCTAAAATGGAAAAAAAAAACCACATTTAACAAATGGTGCTGACATAACTGGACACCAACATGTGAAAAAATGAAAATAGACCCATATCTATCGCCATGCACAAAACTCAGGTCCAAATGGATCAAAGACCTCAACGTAAAGCCAGCCACACTGAACCTTATAGAAGAGAAAGTGTGAAGTACACTTGGACGCATTGGCACAGGGAATACTTCCCAAATATAACCCTAGCAGCACAGACACTGAGAGAAACAATTAATAAATGGGACCTCTTGAAACTGAAAAGCAAAGGACATGGTCAACAAGACAAAATGGCAGCCTACAGAATGGGAAAAGATCTTCACTAACCCACATCAGACAGAGGTCTGATCTTCAAAATATACAAAGAACTCAAGAAATTGGTCATCAAAAGAACACATAATCCAATAAAAAAAACAACCTTCCTCAAGACCCAGCAATATCACTTTTGGGTATATACCCAAAGGGTACTCAATCTTACCACAAGGACATGTGCTCAACTGTGTTCATAGTAGCATTGTTTGCCATAGCCAGAAACTGAAAACAACCTAAATGCCCCTCAACTAGAAAATGGATAAGGAAAATGTGGTACATTTACACAATGGAATACTACACAGCAGAAAAAATAATGACATCTTGAAATTTGCGGGCAAATGGATGGAGCTAGAAAATATCATATTGAGTGAGTTAACCTATTGTTGAAATCATCTCTGAGGTCATAGCTTGTCGAGGGGACCCACTCAGGCATGGAAAGCTGGGGAAGAGAAGAGATCTTAATTCGGAGAACAGGTGTTCCTCAGGCATATTGGCCCTCAGCTGCCACACCCTGACTTACCAGTGACTTCTCCTTGTGGCTGGGGTGACTTCACTGGGGTCCACATTTGGTTCCCCTACTCAGCATTCCCATCCCATGAAGAGAGGCTCCCCAGTGCAGTCCCAGAAAGGATGACATCTGTGTTAGTCAGAGTTCTTGAGGAATAGAACCAATGGGGTGAGGGGTGTGTGTGTGTGTGTGTGTGTGTGTGTGTGTGTGTGTGTGTGTGTG